AGACACAGGCGGAATGCTTCCGACAAGGTGGAATCTTACTTCCGCGCAACCTCACGATGGTCAGCTGCTCCACTCATCACTCTCTGTAAAACCGACTGACATCAGGATAGCTCATGTTTCTGTCGGTGCACAGGCCGATAGTGCACACGAATATCTGCTCAAGCAATATTTGATGACCGCCAAGACGGATAAGTTAAGCCTGAAAATGTGTATGTCCTTTTGATTGACACGTGAATACTTACTCACAAGATGCAGATCTTCGAGCGACCACACACATCATCAGAAAATTACTGTATATATCTCCAACTAGGCACCTCCTCTATGTCACGGACGAAACTGTGGATCGTCGGGGTGGGAAGTCATATCCTACTCATACCTTTGAGCATCTGTCTTGTTTCCTACCTGGCCTTCTAGCTCTTGGAGTGCATACATTACCTCTAGACGATCTTGGGTCACTCGGCATCACACCTGAAGACATGAATTCTGATGGAACGTTCGGTACCGCAAGGACAGATCACGAGATGCTCGCAGGATTCAACCTTAAGAAACTTCATCTTTGGGCTGCCGAGGGATTAGCAGAGACATGTTATTTAACCTATGCAGATCAGCCAACTGGTTTGGGTCCAGATGAGATGATTTTTGATACTGCCCCTCCAAAGAAAACGTGGGATCCAATGGGGAGTCAGTGGCGAGTAAATACCCACGGAACTCTCTGGTTGGATGCGATGAAAAAGTGGAAGAAAAGCGGCAGTCGCGGTGCACCACCGGGTCTTGGAAACAAGAAACCGGTTATCCATGATATAACGCAGCATAATAGAGACTACGGAATAAAAAAGGCTGCATATCTATTACGGCCAGAGGTAGGTTCACTACATCTTCGTCTATCTTGTGATCTCATCACAGCCAGACCATCGAATCAATGTACATACTCTGGCGTGTGACCGGTGACTCGAAGTGGAAAGAAAAGGGATGGAGGATTTTCACAGCCATTGAGGAGCATGCCAAAACTCCAAGTGGGTATGCGAGCCTCAGAGCCGTTGATGCGTTACCAGCCAGATTGTATGATGACATGCCGAGGTGTGTGGTATATCCAGTGGTGGATAAGGAACTAACGAATCACACTCACAGCTATTTTCTTGCGGAAACGTACGTCACGCGACGCATTTCAGTTGGGCGCTTACTGATTTGCCTTTGTAGACTCAAATATCTATACCTGTTGTTCATTGACGAGGATCCAATACCACTAGAAGAGTGGGTGTTCAACACAGAAGCGCATCCGTTTCCTATATTTGAGTGGACCCTTAAGGAGCGGGAATTGTTTGGGATATTTTAGTCTTGTATTATAGAGTTCTTTAGACAATCAGCCTATGCCAAGAATTAGAAAGACATACGTGACTCTTTGGATGTGGGCGCACACGTCAGCTGAGTGATTGAGGGCGTACTGATACTGATTGCATGTGGAGATTGAGTGGTCGGAACAGCGGTCCGGAACTAACCATATGATACACATCGTAATGATGGCATGCATTTGGCCATGATATGCGCGAGTTGGAGAGGGGTTTTTCGAGCCTACAATGGATCAGCCGCCCGTCCTTTTAAAGTCAGGCTCTCCTTAGCACCCAGGTCCATCTTTATTTTTCCCCGCGCAATACACATGGCTGCTCACAAACAAGGCGAATTCGTAGGCTCTCTTGACTGTGGCACGACGTAAGTTTTTTCCTTTCTTTTTTTGTTCAGGCCGTTGACTTTCTCGCAACCTCTCCTTGTTAGATCCGTTCGCTTCATCGTATTCGACAAGAATGCAGATATAATTGCAGAGAACCAGCTCGAGTTTCCCCAGTATTACCCACACCCAGGGTACGTCTTATTTACTTGAGTCCGTGCTCACCCCAATTCATGCCTTACGCCGTAGATGGCATGAGCATGATGCCGACGAGATTATGGATCATGCTAACCGATGTATCGCATCGGCTATCCAGGACATGGTCAGTGCCGGATGGGCACAAGACAGTGTCAAAGTCATTGGTGAGTTTCTCTCCATCACATGCTTGTCATTGAAACTTGACGTTACCCCGGTCCCTTACCAAACTCAAGGTGTAACCAACCAGCGAGAAACAACGGTCGCATGGAGCCGCAAGACCGGCAAACCACTTTGTCGCGCTATTGTTTGGGCTGACTCTCGTACAAAACACGTCGTTGCACATTATGAGCAGCAATTGGAGAACACTGGCATTGAGGTCACGCCAGGTCAATTGGTCAAGGGCAAGGAGGGTACTGAGTATCTCAGGAAGATGTACGCCATGTATAAGCTCTCTGCAACGGATTCTGATCGGTTATGTATGTGTGCAGCACTGGACTTCCTTTGTCCACCTATTTCTCGGCTATCAAGTTGCGATGGATGATAGACAATCATCCTAACGTCGCCGCTGCGCATGAGAATGATGATTTGCTCTTTGGTACTGTTGAATCATGGGTCGCTTATGTTCGTCCTGTGTCTGCTTCATTGCAACTTGGCTTCTAATTCGCTGCTATAGAACCTCCTTGGTGGTGTCGAGACCGGAATTCACATTAGCGAAGTAACCAACGCGTCTCGTACTCTCCTTCTCAACGTTTCGACTCTCCAATGGGAGACTTCTCTCCTGGGTTTCTTCGGCCTTCGCGAATCGATCCTTCCAAGGTTGGTCTCGTCATCGGAGGTTTATGGGAACGTTGCCTCAGGACCACTCAAGGGCGTGCCCATTGGTGGTCTCGTCGGTGATCAGCAGGGCGCTCTTGTTGGTAATAAGTGTTTTGGTCAGGGCGAGGCAAAGTGTACGTATGGAACGGGCGCGTTCTTGCTGTTCTGCACCGGTGATCAGATCGTGAAGAGTACACATGGTTTGTTGAGCACGGTGCGTGATTCCCTGAGACGAGCTCCAACGATTTCGCTCAATAAGGAATCAAGGTTGCTTACCAGGCTGGTCCTAATGCTAAACCTGTGTATGCTTTGGAGGGTAGCAGTAAGTTCATCGCCTTTGTTCTTTCGAAATAACGCGTTTGACGCGTCATGTAAGTTGCGGTCGCTGGAAGTGCCGTCAAATGGCTACGCGACACTATGTGCCTCATTGATTCCGCTCAACAAGTCAACGAACTCGCTTCAAAAGTCCCCGATTCCGGAGGACTTTACTTTGTGACCGCCTTTTCGGGTCTCCTTGCGCCTTACTGGGATCCCGGAGCAGCTGGACTTCTTATTGGTAGATTGCATTTGTATTCATGCGCCACATTCACTGACGACGATGTTCAAAGGCATCTCACAATATACTAACCCGTCCCATATTGCACGTGCTACGCTTGAAGCGAACGCATATCAAACGCGTGCTATCATTGATAGTATGAAATTGGATTCCGGGCATGATCTCAAGCACCTCAAGGTTGATGGGGGCATGACCAATGGTGACCTTGCCATGAGCGTCCTCGCTGACGTTGGTGGATTCACCGTCGTCCGACCTGAGATGAGGACGCTACTGGTGCCCCCGTGCCCGGAGCCAAGATTCACAAAATCCGCATCACCTTGACGAGCAGCAACGTCAAGAACCTCGAGAAGTGTATGTCCTCTCTTTTGACATTGATTGTCAGTAGAACTGCATTGTTAAAATATAGTCTCGAACGACCTCATCAACCGTGCCAAGGACAAGCAACTTCGTGTCAAAGGCCCCGTCCGCCTTCCCACTAAGGTTCTCAAGGTTACCATGCGCAAAACCGTGAGTTTTTACACTTTTCCAGTCGTGTTGGGTACTGACGAGGTTGGTTGTTTAGCCTTGCGGTGAGGGTTCCAAGACCTGGGATTGCTTCGAAATGAAGGTACACAAGCGCCTGATTGATCTCCACTCCTCCAGCGAGATCGTCAAGCAGATCGTAAGTATCTATTCATGATACTAATCGTCATGGCTATTTACTTTTTTCTAGACTAGCATCAGCTTGGAGCCCGGTGTCGAGGTCGAGGTCACCATTTCCGCTTAGATCATTGTTTTTTGCATAATACATTGTTCTGGGTTGAATATTACTACTTTGACAACCATTGCGCAGTTGAAAACGAAAGGGATGATTGTCTCAATTTTATGTTGAGACGCCGACACCAGGTAAGTACTTTGTCAAATCTAGTTTAGCAGGGGTCAGCACAAACATTCTTTGAGGTTGATCATAGGTAAGAACAATACTTGTATCCATCGTTGATTCAATGCTGGTACATATTTTTGATGAGTATTGATGGACTTTGTCTTCTCAATCCATTACAACTACGGAGGTATTGGTTCTCCAGTTACTGCTTTTTGAACTCTCTTCGATCATCCCTCGACCACTGTCGACCAATATTGTTGCGTATGATTGTATCTTGCAAGAGATTCATGCGTCAATGATCGCCCGCGTTCCCATGGAAGCCACACCACCGTCTTGAGCCTGACTAAGACATTGGCGCCAGCTTGCTTCTTGGTTACGCATTTGTGTAGAATCGCTCATACCCTCACGGCGCAAATACTTGTACTAAGTATGCCCTCCTGAACGTATACTCGATTTTATTCAATACACCGGGTACGCGAAAATCTGAGGGCAGTAAAAACTCAATATCTTCCTTGGCTCGGGACAGTGACACCACTTAGGTACAGGACGCTCTTTCAACACTCAAAACAAACACTTCTTCAAACGATTCATCTTTTTTGCGGATGCAGCAAGACAGCTTAAAGTCCTGCCGGATTACTTGATGGGATGGTACCTTTCTTGACCGTACTCGCTTGTCCGTCGTGGCTGCCGCATCTTCGCCTCTTCTTATCCTTGCAGAACTATCAAACCTGGAGCGAACTGTGGATGCATGTGGCGCTTAGCTTCTTGCTCACAATACCTTTCAACCACCACATCCGTTAACCTTGAGGGATACTCGAGATTATCGTCGTGCAAGCATTGAGTGTTGAGAAACTCTAGCAGTATGTATGCGGCGACTGGTTCTTAACAAGAACTTCTTAATGTGGGGCCGTGTGGCGTAATGGCAACGCGTCTGACTACGACTGTTCGCTTGTACTTGCCGTAATCAGGAGATTGCAGGTTCGACCCCTGTCTTGGTCATTCTTCTATCCGCTTCTCGACTTTTTGTTTTTGCTCGGTCACTGCAACAACAGGGTATAAGAAAAGCTTGCAAAGGAAGAGAAATCGTTACATAGCTTGAAGGCATGTACTCCCCGCAAGAAGTTGAAGAATGTCGTCTTTGGAAGAATAGTATAATCGCAGAACAGTCCCGGATTGGATGTCCTCTGATTTGAACTCTTTCGTCAATAGATTCTTCCTTAGATTAGGCATGCAGTACAACTGTCCAAGCTGGAACAGAGGCCACAATAAGGGGGATGTTTACAGAAGTCCGTAAATCTATTTGCCAAACTTTTTTAATGGGTTAGACTTCTTTTTGCCACCACGACCACCACTCGAACCCCCACGACCGCCTCTTCCTCGGCCCCTTCCGCGGCCTTGTGAGGTATTTCCCTTCCTGAAGGGTACAAACCCAGGTTTCGACGTTTCCGCCTCAGTAGCATCCAAAGCCCCAGGAACAACAGTGATTTTCGGTAGCAGGTACTTCGGAACGTGCTTCATGTGCGGTTGAATCCTCGTAGGGTGAAGTGGCTTGTCATGTCGAAGAAACTCAAAATCCAATGGATTGTCTTCAAAGTGTGCCTGTAATCCCCACCGCTAGCCAGTTAGCTACCCTGCTGCAATGAGTGATGAAAAATGAACTGGCCTTGAGTTTGTCAGAATTTAGAATTTCAACTTTGAGTTCCTTGAGTCGCGCCTCTTTGATCGCACTCCTGGTAACACTGCGCAGTGCATCCTCCATACGATATCGAAATGCCTCGACTTGCTTCATGTCAAAGTTGTACTCTTTGATTTTACTTCCCCTTGCCCCCTGTTCCTTCTCGATCTTCCCGAACACACCCTCGTCTCCCCGAGCACTCGGAAGACACCCCACGACCTTGTTCTTTCCCCACTGATCTTGAGGAACAACAAAAGACAGAGCCATACCTGTACGACCCGCACGTGCCGTACGTCCAACACGATGTGTGTACGACCGGGAGGATGTTGGAAGGTCAAAGTTGAGCACACATGCGACGTCGACAAAGTCGACACCTCGCGTCACACCGTATTCTTTGTCATTGGTTTTTCGGTGTTTCCGTTTGCGGGATTTGTTTGATGAGGTTGAGGAAGGCTCTGGAGCAGGCGAGCCGGCACGTTTGCGTTTTCGTGTTGAGGTAGAAGGCTTTGACAGTTCGTCCGACGGTTCCTTTGCAGGCTCCTCCGAATCCGTAGGCGTAGATTCGCGTTGGGCAGATGAAACTAGAAGGGATAAGCGGGAAGTCAGCAAATGTGGACATACAGAACGAACATTCTTCGACTACTCCTTCGTCATCCGCTTGGTCTTCAACGTCAGTGTCTTGCTCTATGGCTCCGCTCTCGTCCGTAGCGATGATATAATCATAAACACCCTTGTTAAACTCCTGCACAGTGTGGTATCTGATGCAAGCAGGGTTAACGAACCGTGATAAATTGGTCAACTAAAAACTCGCCTTGAATTGAGGGGCAGCTCTGAATTTAGGACGCAACTTTTTATTGAGAATTGTTCAAGAAATAGTTTCAGGCGATAGCTGCGGTCAACATCATTAACGAATATGATGCATTTGCCCTTGATGAGCCTGAGCTTGAGGATGACATATGTCAGAAGGAACTTGTCCACTTCAGAGCATCTGTTTGTGATTAATACCTGAAGCCAATAGAACAGAGTAGACATACTTGACGGCGTATTGACTGAGGTGCGCTGCTTCATCCTCGTCTTCTTCAAGTTTGAGAATCGCCTGATTACGGTGTCAGTGAAGAGGTCATCAATAAAGAATTTGAGTGCCCACAGGATTGCGGAGGGTTAGACCTTTAAGAAGTTCTACATCCTCGGTCATGGTTGCGCTCATTAGGAAGGACTGGTAGACTTGGGGGAGGAAGGCGCCACTGAATATCTGTCGTATGTCTTCGTCGTGTCCATATGATAGAATCAAATCAGCCTCATCGATGACGAGAGAATCTAATGATGCAGCAGAAAGCGCCTGATGCAGTACATTGAAGTTCGGAATGAACGATAAGATAGCAGAGCTGTACCTTGGATTGAAGAAGCGCCAAAGCACGCGAAGGAGTCGCAACGACGATGTCGGGTTTGTCTGAGAGGAGAACACTATCAAAGAATGTTGCAGAATCAGATCAGGCTCGATGCATGGTATATACTGTATATCCACCGTTGAAAATGTGCCGTTGTCCCTGTGGACACATTTAGGAAAGTAACGTCCGGTTCACAGTAGGTCAAAAGGCCACGCAGGTAGGCAGAAACTTGTTCAGATAATTCGCGAGTGGGCACAAGAATCAATGCACGTGTAGCTTGCCGCGTCGTATCTTCAGCAGGTAGTGACTATACGGGCTACATTGGTCAAATACTTTATAAACCAGATAGAGACATACATTTTTGATGCCCAAGATCTTTTGTGCTACAGGAACACAGTACGCTGCTGTTTTTCCACTTCCTGTACGAGCGCGGGCGAGGATATCCCGGCTTTCTAATGCTAGTGGTATAGCTTTTGCTTGGACGAGGGTGGGACGCGCAAAACCAGCGTCAGCGAGGGCTCGTAGGAGGCGAGCATCTAAAAGATGAGAGAAAGACGCAAATGATGACTTCACAACTAGACGTTCTTCGGCCATATGCGCCCGTCGTATGGAGAACTAGTCCCCTCAGTATGTATGAATTTTGGCGAATGCGTAGATCAAAATTATCGGCGGACTTTGAATCAAATGTCTTCCCAAATCGCCACCTCCAGCGAAAAATCTATATGTAGACTGTGAGTCCTAACTTCATGAGTAATATTCAAGCTCTATGCGAATTCTGCTTTGCAGATGTGGTCGTCAATTTGCGAAATACAACTGTCCAAGTTGTAACGTGGCCTACTGTTCTTTAACATGCTTCCGCTCCGAAGTGCGTCATCGGTATTCTTGCCGCCCTACAATATGTTCACTCCTCGCGATATCACTTTAGACTCACACGCAATGCTCAGAAGCATTTTATAAGAAGGAGGTAGCGACGCAAATACAGTCGGAGCCGTCCAAAACGCTACAAGAACGAATGAAGATGATGGAGTTACTGAAAAAATTTGAGGAAGAAGACCAAGAAAACACGAATTTGGATAGTGAGGGTGAAGACAACACGGAAGACCTGGCGCTCAGATTTGCGGATGTTGACCTTGGTATGTGTGTGTCAGTCTGTCTTGGACAAATTCTTCATGGGGGTTGATAGATGCTACATCTGCTGCTGATTTGTGGTCCAAACTCACACCTGCTGAGCAGGCAGGATTCTTAAAAATAATGGAGGACCCTAACAGCGATAATGCTCGGCAGCTACTGGCGAGCGAAGAGTTAGAGAACGAGCGACGTGAACCCTGGTGGGACGCGCCTGCAGTGGAACCTGATGGTCCGCTTTCCCATCGGCACGGTTCAAAGCCAGAGTTATTCCTCGTACCCGTCATTATGGTTAAACCTCTTTCGAATGGGCCGCCACTCCACTATAACGTCTGTGCAGTATGGTACGTGGCCGACCTAAAAATGGAGCCATCCACCTGAAAATAAGGCGCAGTATCGCGTATGCGTTTGTCACCAGACACCTTTCTGTATCTCCACTATCATCTCTTACGCCCAAAGGTGTCGATTACGATGAGGCTAAATGTATAATATCGCAGTTGGTCCCTTTTCTTGTCGATCGGAAGTCAACGGTGCTACACCCCAATCTATCCAGTCTTGTGACTGATATATGGTCGAGGTTTAACCCCGTACGTTTTCGTATCTTGATGAAATGCATCAAGCAATTGACTGAAACAAAAATCTAGGGTCAGGTGTCGTCCGAGTTGTTTGCGGTCCTATTAAAGGACATCGCCCATCTGATTTGTCCACTTCCGGTCACAGGGGTTGCATTAGGAACGCAGTCAGAAGAATATTATGATGCAGCTTCTCATCCACATTTGAATACTGTTCTGGCTTTATCAGATCTTGCAAAGCTTTTTGAACATCCTATGAATGGCACCAAGTCCCATGTCACCCACAAACTGCTATTTTACGCAGCACGCATAATTTCCACGCCGTCCTGGATCCTCCGCACCCTCGCGGAAGATCTTGCCAAACGATCGGCCGTTTATCAAACTGCAGATAATTCAGAAATTGAATTGGAACTTAGAGGTGGATTTGAGGATTGCGCAGGAACCTTTGACAAGCAGAAGGGACAAGCTCCTGTCATTGAAGAGATTTGAAAGTGGAGTTACTATGCGATGGGACATTGGATACCTATATGAGGAAAACCCAATCACTACAGCACCCTGGCCTTCGGAAACCAGAGATGTGGTAAGCACGTATCACATACAGATATGTGTATTGCACATGTTGATTCCCTATCAACGCCTCAAAGGATGGAGAGAATCTACGGTTTTCATACAAGTTATACCCATCGAGACTCTATATTTGCCGCAAAATTGCATGTGGCGCGGTGCCATCCGAATTGAGCAACGCTCAAATCTACAATTGTGTACTTGATTTGTCATGTCTGGAAGTAATCAGATATAACACACACTTTTTTTTAGATACAACCCCGTAACTTTATGTATTATCATAGTTTCCAATCGGAATGTAAGCAATGCAAAAGTTCTCACTGGGCGTGAGATACATGTATAGAAGTGGATGCTATGATCAATGATACGTGAGAGTGGTCAAAGGGAAGAGATTTGCTCAAGACATATGGTTTGTCTTGTAGGTGGTACAATTCAGAAGCAGTAAAGTGTGACAAGGACTACGTCTTTACATGCAGTCATTGATTAGTTCTTGCTCCGCTAGCCCTTTGTCATTTCAATGGATAGAATCAGAAGAACCATTCAGGGGGACCCCGAAGAGATCGAAGTCGAAATTAGATCAGAATATGAAACATGCCACTGCAAATTAAGAAAAGATAAGGGCTATAACTATTATGAACCCATAACGCGTGACAAAGTAAAGAAGTGCCGTGTATG